GACGTGTCTGCAGTGTTCTGTGCCTGAACCTACCTCATGCCTGAATTATGTGGATGACAAATTGCTCACAAATGATCCATGGGAGTGTGGGTGCAAATATGTTGCTTTTGCATTTTGATATTGGGCAGCACTAATCTAAGTCTGATTCAATTCAACACCTGGTAAACTAAGGATTTGTGATGCAATGCTACGTATTCTTCATCGTGTGATATGAATAATGATTTTAACAAAATGCTGATTTTAACGATCTCTTACACCGGATTAATTGATTTCAGAATCCACAAACATTTCAACAAGGAGTGAATATTTTTACTTTCATAAAGTTATATTCGCAAGTGTGTACGGTACAAGTTTTGCAGGCAAATCATTAACAAACCACACCGTCTCTTGGTGTAATCCACCCTACAGTGTTGTGTTCATGAGGACCTGCTCTCAGGATGGTTTGAAGTGTGGGTCATTCATCTGTAGTATTGTTCTTTATGTGGCCCGTAGACCCGTCACTTTGTAGACCATCGCCCTGTGAAGCTGGTGGCTGGGTCAGGGGGTAAAGGTGCCTGCTGCTTTCACAGTGAGCCCCGAAAAGAGTGGGGTGGACCTGATGGAGGGAACGGAGGTGATGGAGGAAGCATCATTTTCAAGGGTAAGCTGTTATAAGATGTCATTATGTTCTACACTTTCCCTAACCTGTCTTTACAACCATTCACCTTACTTCCTAGAATCAGAAGCATTTGGGTTTTTTTCTGTCCTGATAATTCCTTTCAAAAGATTTCGTGTCAACACAGCCACTGACCGAGCTCCATCCATTCGGAATTATATCACAACATGCTTCCATATTCCTTATTCTTCATTTACGTGCTTTCAGCTGATCGGTTTGTCAAATCATTGGCACAAGTGGTTCCGGTTTATAAGGGAGAGGATGGGCAATCAGGTGGCAGCAAGAACTGTTATGGTCGGAACGGCAGCCCAACCTACGTTTCTGTGAGTCCTTACATTTGGTCTTAAATCATAAATTCTTTTGTTTCATCACCTTTCTGCTTCACCTTGTCTGTGATATTTTTTTTCTATTTGTAAAGGTACCATTAGGCACTGTGGTAAAGGAGGAGGGGAAAACTATAGCGGACCTCTCTGAACACGGGCTAGAGTATCTGGCTGTATTTGGAGGAGCTGGAGGAAAAGGGAATCGATTCTTTCTGTCCAATGAGAACCGTGCCCCGATGACAGCAACCTCAGGAATGCCAGGAGAGGAGAGGGTCCTTCAGCTGGAGCTACGCACCATGGCACATGCTGGACTGGTGAGAGCATTTTTAAACATTCACGTATTGCTTTACAATGCCACAAACATGGTTTTTCATTTGTTTTTAATTAATATCCCATCAGGTGGGTTTTCCTAATGCTGGGAAATCATCGTTGTTGAGAGCTATATCTAATGCCAGGCCTGCGGTGGCTGCTTACCCTTTCACAACGCTCAGCCCACATGTAGGAATTGTCAGTTACAGGGATCATGAGCAAGTTGCAGGTAATTAGTTTTAATTTAATTCATGTATTGTATATTATTTTACTAAACAAAAACTTAAATATAAGTTCTAATTAGATCGATTTCAGCATATAACTATAACACACGATATAACATGTATGTTCCACTCTTACCCTTGCTCTGTGTAGTTGCTGACATCCCAGGCATCATTCGAGGAGCCCATCTAAATCGAGGCTTGGGCATCTCTTTCCTGCGTCACATAGAGCGCTGTCGCTTCCTCCTCTTTGTCCTGGATCTTTCCACTCCAGAGCCCTGGACTCAGCTCCAACATTTGCGTTATGAACTGGACCAGTATGAGCCTGGTCTGTCCCAGCGGCCTCAGGCCATTATAGCCAACAAAATGGACCTACCTGAGGCCCGGGAGAAGCTGGAGACTCTTAGGAGCGTTGTCATCGAGCGGGTCATTCCTGTGTCGGCTCTCACTGGACAGAACACAGAAGAGCTCATCCTCCACCTCAGAGAGCTATATGACGGCTACCTCCAAGGACCAGGTAGTGTGGAAGGTAAACCCACTAAATGGTAGTAAAAAACCATTTCCTCTTGCTTTACTGATATCTCTGTCATGTATATACACA